ACAGACAAAGAGGAAGAGGAAGCCATCATGGCATGAAGTGGTGAGTCATCCCTGCTTGGCATGTTTTCCTTGAAAGCTGTTTGTTGGGAACTGATGGACAGCTTCTGTAGATGAAAGCTGTGTGGGGTTGGCAAACAAACTCAAAATACTCCCTGTGGCTTATTGAAACAATAGTGAGCAGCTAGTGGCAGCATATACAAATGGCTCACACTTTCCAAACAAACCGAATTGAAACAAAACAAAGCCAAAAAGGTGGCTGAGAAAAACACCTCAACATGGCTGAAACAAACCCATTCCAGCTGCAAAGCCAAATTGGCTGACAAAAATGGAAAACAATTCTTGACCACATTCACCTTGCAAAAAAGGCTGCAAGCCTGCCAAGCCTTTTTCCAACCAGCTACCCCACTCTCCAAAGAAACATCTGAGGCTTTCCCCAGATGTTTCAGAAAACGCAAAAGCCCCAGCACTCCCGATAGAGAGTGAACCCTCACTTACTTTTTCCACCATTCTTCTGGTGGTATTGCACCCACTCCTGTCGACTGTAGAATTTGAGTCCTTCAAAGTTGCTCTTAGAGCAACTGCTACAGCCATTGACATTTCCCCTGCATCGCAAGCAGCCCCATCCTTGGCACTTCTTGACATTCTTGGAATTCTTAGGTAGCTCTTGCTTTGCTTGTTGCTCCTCCTTGACTCTCTGACTCTTGGCCTTGGTGCCAGGCTTCTGAGAAAGCTTCTCTGAAGAAGCGCAAGGCCTCTTCATACCTTTCTTCAACCTAGATTCCAGCAGCTGAAAGGCCTCATTCTCATAGTCTGCAAGATCCTTTGGTGGCTGCTTGTCGTTGTCATGCTTGCCATTCTCATTCACTGCTGGTGCATCAGCTGGTGTAGCAGGCACATTGGTCAGTGGTAATGCTGCAGCAGGAGCTGGTAATGCCATGGTCTTTGCGCTTGCCTCTTGAGAGTCATCTTGGCGCAGGCTTTCAGAACTGGAGCCACTTGCCAATCTCTTGTTCTGCATGAGCTGGATGTTGCAGGTATCCAATTCTTTGGCCTTCAAAAGCATGCTGCCAAGGCCTTCCATAATGCTCATCATTCGGTTGCGCATCCCTAGGTCGACCTGTGAGGCACCTTTGGACACATTTGTTCCACTGCTTGTTGGAACCAAAGTTTTGTGAGAATTTCTGACTCCTCTGCTGCCAGCAAGAGAAAGCACTGCACCTGCAACTTCTTGTGGAATTCTTGCAGGAAGATCATCGCCATACACCTTTTGCAGGAAGTCCTGGAAGGTTATGGGAGTTGCAATGGTCTGGCCACCACTGACATCAAGCCTACCACAAAATATAAACTTAAACAATCAAACAGATGCACATTTACCCTCTCAGTGTCCTGTCCAAGCTCTTGAGGGGCCATAGGGTACTTGTTGTAGCTACCCACTGCAGGTGCTTGCTCTGAAGCTTTGAAGGTGTCTCTGACATTCTCTGCCAACTTGTAGAATTCACCAGCTGTGGGCAACTGGTGCCCCTGCTTCTCCTGGAGGTAGACCAGGAGGGCTGTGGCATGTTTTTTTGTTTTTCCTTCATGCTCTTCAGGCCAACTGTCCTCAACCGACAAACCAGCACAGAGCATGCTTCTGCAAAGGTCAAGGTTTGAATCTTCTCCCACTCTGTCTTTGACAGGTAGTTGAAAACATTGGTCATGGACTGGGGGCAAGCTTGTAGTCGAAGATGCCCTTCCATTGTTTCTACACTTTTCTCCTTCAAGGCATCTGCAAGCTGCTCTGTGATTTCTTCTAGCAAACTACATTCACTGAAGCAACCCATGAGTTTGACATAGGCTGAAGGAGGCACTGTGTCAATGGCCTGGAGCTTGGAGACAAGACACTTGACCATGGTCTCCATAATTTTACTCTCCTTCCTCATGGTACCAATGGTCTCCAGGTGCTTGACCTCCTGGACAATGTCTTCCACTGTCCACTGCACCATTGCTGGCAAGATTCTACAGCAAGATGGAGTGAAGAACACAGTGTGCACGTGAGCATAGCAGTGTATCTGTCAACTGTTTTTGTTCACATGTCAAAGAAAGTGGTAAAGCAACAAAAAGGCTGCATAACACAGTGAGGCTGTCTCACAAATGAGAAGTCTTCTCCCAAAGCATTCTCTTTAGAAACCATCATCGAAGAAGCCAAACCAGGCTGAAAAACAAAACACCAAAAAACATACAAGATGCTGCTCCCAGCATGCAGTACACTTTTTCATCTCTTCTTCCAAAATCTGTTAAGACCTCCAGGCTTGAACTGCTCAAAGCCTGGCCCTTGGGCAAAAGAACCTCTTGAGGGTGTCAAGGTTGTGCCCAGCAGCTGAGTTGCAATAGCTATGCCCCTCCTGCAGCACCCATGCTGTGAACAAGCGCTTCATCACTGGGTCATTGACAACTATCCTATCCCCCATGGATCTGCAGGATTAGCGCTTGACAATAAAAAACATGTCAGAATAGGTTCCATTATCAAAGGGAATACAAGTAGCAAAGAACTTGCTGAATTTATTCAAAGCTCTGCCAAAAGGTTTCTGCATCCTAACAATGGAATATGATGGGACTAAATCAACACATAAACTGTAACAAATGGTAACAAAAACATATCTTCAAAGGTGTTGTTTAATTTATCAAAACACCTCAAAGATCTCTGACCAAAAGCTAGCATTGGGCTTGTTGCTGTCATACACCAGGTGTTCAACGCCCTGCTCATCTCTCTGCCAAACAATGAAGGCCTCCCCACCAAAAAGCTCCATGCGCATTCGAACACCTAGGCTCACTGAAGCCCACACAGCAAAGCGCCTGCCATCATCAATCCTATTCATGACAGATCCAATGCAGCAGTACTGCAATGCAGCACTGCACTATAAGCATACTTGAGCAGCACTGCAACGCTGCAGATGATTCATGCATACATCAAAAAACAGAAACAAAGCCCAAAGTGGCTGAAATGAAATCAAATAGACACATAAAAGATAAGTCAACTTGACTGAATCTAAGGTAAAGGTTTATGAAATATAGTATTTTGTTATTTTCTTATTGAGAAGCAAAAATAAAAATCAAAATTGATTTTCACTTCAATTCAGACTTCTAAATTGAACTGAAGACTGTTTTCATTTCAATTTAGATTTCTAAATTGAAATGAAGAATGTTTTCATTTCAATTTAGAATCATTTCAATTTAGATTTCTAAATTGAAATGAAGAATGTTTTGATTTCAATTTAGATTTCTAAATTGAAATGAATAATGTTTTCATTTCGATTTAGCAATTTTTATAACATATGAATATATCTAAATTGAAATATATCTAGTTGATCTTTCAGTTGTGAAAGGCTGAGCTCACAGTCTCATAGTTTCACACAAGCCAAAACTTTCAATCATTGAGTTCCTTTTCTCTTTTACACCATGCGATGAGATCATTGTGTAGGGTCTGGGTCAGACCAAGCAGGCCATTCATGTTGCTCGACCTTGTCCTTGATGGCTTTCATAATCTCCTCCATTCTTCCATGGTCTGGCAGTATCTTCTTGACTTTCCCCCAGCAGTCCAACAAATTGTACATGTGTCTAAGTCTATTTGGTTTTAACATCTATACATGAAATCTTGGCAAACCTTTTTTACAAACAAAAACTTTTGGTGTAGCCACTTAAGATTGGCACCCTGCCTTCTTCTTCAACATCCCACCATCACCATAGAGCTGCTGCCACATTTGTTGAGGTGATGACTTCAGCTGTGGTCGACTTTGAGCAGATGGGTAGGCTTCAGCATTGTCTGCCATGACCTTCTCAGCCTCCAATGTGGCTGCACCCTTCACCACTTGAGCTTTGCTGTTTTGAGTCCTAGCTTTGGTGCCTGAAGAACTTTGGTCATCAACTGGGTGCTCTTGCACTGTAGGCTCACTGACACCACCCTGCTCAGTGGAAGTGTTTGGCAAAGGAGTTTTTGGGGGCTTGTGCCATGGAGCATTGACAAGGTCTGGCTTCTCAACACCTGGCTTCTGCTTTGGTGGTTCCTGAAGAGCTGGTTGCCCAAAGACAGGCCCACCCATTCAGTCAGCAGGTTGTGCATCCTGCTGATGAAGCCCAGCCTGACCATGTTGTGCCTTCTCCAGCTCAATCATGTAGTCCAGGTCCTTAGATGAAGGCATGTGACTTCTGATATACCACACACTGGACTCAGGTTGGGGGGCATGGTTGCTCACCATCTGGGCCACAGACGCACAAAAAAGGTTTTGACAGTTCTTCAATATCCAAGTGGCGCTCATTTGTTCTTTTGGTTGTTGTGCAAAATGCGCTTCCAAAAGTTTGGCCACATCTGCCACTACATCTTCATGAGGTGCTGCTGGAACCTACAAGATTTGCACAAGAGTGTACAACTGCAGCCCATACTAACACTCCTGAGAAAAACATTTGCCACACTACACTTGGTTGGGTTGGCTTTGTATCTCTATCAAAAACTACCAAAAACAATCAACCCTGCCCCTCATCATTCCAGCTTTCCCACTCATCCCACTTGGCCCTCTTGGCCTCACTGGCCTCTGTGCAAGAAGCCTCCCTTTTCATCACTACAGAGGAAGCTGGTGCTTGAGCAACAGCAATTGGAAAGGTTGGCTGGAAAACACAACCAACAAAGCATTGCAACCGTAATTGAAAACACAAGCCAAATAGTGGCTGGACACAATTGGAAAACAAACAGAAACTGCAGTAGCCAAAACATGGCTGAAACAGAAATCAAGCAGAAACTGCATTAGCCAAAACATGGCTGAGAAAACAAATGGATATGCAAAAACCAACTTGAAGCCAACACTGGCTGAACAAAACAATTTAGCCAAGCTCTGGCTGAAATAAACAACAGTGTAATGAATAATGCAAGCCAAACAAGTGGCTGCAAACATACTACAATACAAAAAGTCAATGCCCTTGATGCACTTGTTTTGGCGCACAGATGCAAAAGTTGGTTTGGTCTGCTGGCATCAAGTGGTTTTCCTAGCCTTTTTGGCAGGAGGTGCTGCACAAGCCTCTTTCCCTTTCAAGAGGGGAGCCTGCTTCTCGATCTGCTTGGAGTTCTCCAAGACTGGTATATGTAGATCCTGGTAGGTCTTCCAGCTGACATTGAGATTTGCTTCCTCATTCTCTTCACTGGCCTTGATATAGAAGTATGCACGCATTACCCCTGACTCTTCCTTCTTGGTGGGGTTGAAAGCCTTGAAGCCTTGCACTTGGTAGGCTACTTCTTTGAACTTGACAACCACTGCACCCTTGGACAAAAGCTCATCTACCTTGTGTTGTTCTTTGACCTTGGTCAAAGTTCCAACAGGGTAAATCTGCAGCTCCTTCACCTTCAGTTTCTTCAAAGAAACCAAGCCATTGGGAAAACTTGTGAAGGCCACCATATCCAGACTTGCCTTGTTGTTCTGTTTGTAAGCCTCTGCCAACAAATGGCTTGCGCACTGCTTGGCCCACTCATCCAATACTAGTGGTGAAGCTTCAGGAAGTCGAGCTTTCACACTCTCAGTGGGGCATAGCTGGCAACGTTCTCTTTTTGTTCTTTTCCAATCCTTCAGCTCTTCAATGCTGGCAACAACCTTGATTTCATCACAAAACAAAGGAACATGCTTGAAGACACCAGAGCAATCCTTTATGCTCTCCAAGGTGAAAACCTGGTCCTTGTAATCCTTGTGCAAGTAATTCTTGCCCACAATGATGTGGTCATTCTGCAACATGGCTACTTCATTTGGGTCTGCTTGCACCAAGTCCTTCACTTTGAGAGCTTCACCATCTTTGGCGTCTACAGCGCTTGAGGTTGGAGCGCCTGCACTGTTTTCAAGTTCCATGGAAAGCTCCTCCACTATTGCTTGGAAGGATTCAAAGCAAAATCCATCTCTTGCACGCTTCTCTTTCTGCAGGGCATACAGCGCAACACGCACACAGAACCTGCCAAAACACATTTCACCAAGCGCCAGGTCTGCTGCCTTCTGGCATGATTGCCAGCCCTTGGCCAGCAATCTTGGTGGAGCTCTTGCCCTTCAGCTTGTCGAAGTCAGACTTGAACACCAACTTACAGATCCCATCCTGGTGTCTCTTTGAACTCAAAATTGTTGCCAGGAGTGCGATGCGAAGAAAGTTCAGCTGGCACCCAGGCAACTTGAAGTTGTAGTATGCAAGCAAGTTCATGTTCTCTTCCCCCACTAAAAGAGAATGACCAGAAGCTTTACCTTGGCCAAGAGAAAAAACAACAGACTGCTTTGAATACCTTCAGGACCCTACATTCAGGGGAAACCTCCCAGGTACATCAAAGATTGATTCAACAAGCAAACCAAGTTACAGAACTTGTCCAACCAGAGCAACATGGGGAAGGTTTCCCCTCCAGAGTAGAGTCTCATGAAGTAGGCGCAATCCTGTCTGTATGCTTTGCATGAAGGGCTGCTCTGGCAAACAGCTTGAACTGCATCTGCCATTTTCATCCCACTTCTGTGCAAAGCAGCCAACTCCATCATCACTTCCAACTCATTGCCGAGGACTGTGTTGCTGTTGTGAGCATTCATGCCCATGGAGCAAAAGGCTGGCAAATCAGGAAACATATCAGCTGCCTCTGCCTTCAAGATTGTCCACTGCCAGCCAGACTCCACCAGATTCTTCATGTCTGGTGTCATGTGCAGCTCTGTTCCATCTGCCTTCAGGCACCCATGGTCAAGAGCTCTGCAAAACTGGTTGAAATGAGAACTAGCAAGGCCCAAAAACCGCTCACACCCTCTCAAAGGTGCCAGCATTCTGTTGCTCTGGGCAACCATCTGCTCATTGGCCTCCAATTGCTTTCTCCTGTCTGCGCTGCCCACTGCAAGCTCTATCCCCAAAGAATTGGGTGGCAAAAGGTCTTTGTTCAGCCCACTCTTCAACACCTGCTCTCCTTTCATATGGCAATTGTGCGCATTGCGCATTGAAGTCCCTTTGTTGTCTGGATGGCACAGCATCTCTCTTGGAGAGACTACTGCCTTGTATACTAAGCCAAATTTCTCCAAGGACTGCAGGATCTTCTCCAGCTTCACATGCTCCCCACAAGTGTTTGCAGGGTCCAGCAAATCCTTGATTTCCTTCTGGACAGCTTCAGGCACAGCCATGGCGCAAATCACTCAACCTAAGGTGTTGGCTGGTTTGTTGGGACTTGCGCCTCACCGTTCTGCTGCTTTTGGGTTTTACATGTACATTGCCATGCCTTGGAGCTGGTTACAGCCTGGCATCACTCTTACAAACCACAGGCTCTGAAGCCATCTGTAGCAGCACATGTAATGCAAAAGATTGATTAACACCAAGGCTACATAGTTGAAGCCTTTGAAAACATCTGTGTAAACACAGCCAGCATGGCTGAACAAAAATACAAACAGAGCCAACATGGCTCGAGGAAGCCAACATGGCCGAAAACAACGCACATAGCCAACATGGCTGAAAACAAAAAGAGATACGTACAACACAAAAGCTGCAGCAAAGGGCCTGTTTTGCTCAAGCACTCTCAACATGAGTCATGTCTTCAAACACTTGAAGATTCTTTCTATGAAGCTTCATCAGATTCCTCTGAGGCTTCTTGTTCAGACTGATGGTTCTTCTTGAACCTTCCTGTCCTCTTGTGTTCCCTTTTGGAATTCAACTGCTCACAGTCTGGCTGCAGGAAGGTGAGGACTGCTTCCAGCTGCTTGGCCTCTAAGCAAACCATGAGGTCTGCGTGCAACACCCTCTTTGGAGGGCACAGTACATTCACCATTGTGCCACACACATCGATGTCCACAATGCTCTCAGCCTTTCTCTTCTTTGACCCTTGCTCTCTTGACTGGGCCATGCTGGCTGCCACCTCAGCATCCCTTTTCTCCTTCAAAGCTTTCAAGCACTGACCATTGCTGAGGCTTGAATTCTTTTCACACTTCCCACACACCAGCTTCACAATTGGTGGAGAAGTGGGCCGAAGTTTGAGGTACTCAGCGCCATTCACATCCTTGCAGGCCATTGCATGCTGTGAAAGCAGCAGCATTTTGACAACAGGATGCAATATGTCACGAAACAAGTTTGGTGGTTGGGAAGCTGGCCTGGTTGTTTAAACATAAAAACCAAACAAGCAAGTATGCGCCCTGCAAGTCCTTTGCAACCAGCTCATCTGGTATGTGGACCTTCTGGGCCTTAAAGCCAATCTCCAACCGTCTGGTGATCTCGACATGGCATTCTGCCATCTCTGAAAATTCAAGCTTGAGCAAACACCTCCTCACCCAATGTGGGTTTTCATTTCAACATGCCTAGGGCTGCGCCTGAAAGGTCCACCAGCGCTGATTCTCCAACAAATGCAACACCCCTCGCAAATGTACACATGTCCAATGAGAACCTCCTGTGCCCAAAGCTGAAGACATGCTGTGCCCAAACACATGCTGCCAAGCTGTGTGTTTTGTTCCAACCACAAACCAATTCTTAAACGCCAAAGGCCAGCTTTTGACAGCTGAAAAATGAAAGTCTTGAACATGCAAAACAACATTCTGCACAATTACAAATAAGAAAACATATTTTTTTGGCAATATGTAAAGATTAATAAGTTGTGCTAACTTTACATAATTTTTAACATAGTTAACATAATTACATAACAATTAGTGAAAATTAGTAAAAAGCATAACCTGTCTTAACAGTTATAACTAACATGTTAAGACATAGTTACACATAGGTTAGAGGCATGTTATGATATGGTTAACAATTGTGATAATTTTGATAACTAGTTAGTAAAAGCCAGCCCATCTAAGAATTGGAGATGCTTTCGAGCGCTACCGACAGACGCAGGAGGCAGCTGAACTGCGCACTCAAGGTTCGAGCTTGTCCTGCGTGACGACAGTTCACAAATTATGGGACCCAGTGACTGTTGGGACTGCAGAGTTCTACATTCCGCTGTGTCGGTCCGAGCGGCCAGCTTACGCAATACGGGCGAAATATCTGCTGGGTGCGTTGGTTCAATTCGCGTGGGACTCTTTGTTCCTCCGGGTACAACCATGTCCTGGCGTCCGCAAAAATCTGGGCGGACACATCCTCACAGAGAACCAGAAAAATGTCACTGCTCCACCAAGCCCATGAGCCTGACAGTGGCAACCAGTCTTCTCTTCGTGACCGGCGCCAGTCTTGCCAGTCTGGCCAGTCGTGCTCCTGCTGCCCCGCAACCGGTATGTTCAGTCTAGCAGTTCCCGACGCAACCGCAGAAACGCAACCGACACATCGAAACCAACCGTAGACATCTGCGTCGTCAGACGCGGGGGTTGCGTGTCGATGCTTTGTCGCCAGGTGCCTACCCACCGTCCGCGGGATGCCCTCACGTCCCATCAAGGCAAACAAAGGCAGCTTTGCCTTTTCCATTGCTGTGATTACTCCGTGCTAGGCACAATTCTCTATGGGCCACATCCTGAGCATAGAAAGCAATTGGTATACTGCACACATACATCGCAAATTTATAGTACCTCCTTCTGTTTTTGTCACAGAACATATGCCGTTGCTGTGCTTGCTCCATGCCAGGCACAATTCTCTATGGGCCACACCCTCAGCGTCGAAAGCAATGGGCAGACTGCACACATACGTCGCAAATTTGTCCTACCTCTTTCTGTTTTTGTCACACCTATGCCGTTGCTGTGCTTGCTCCGTGCCAGGTACGATTCTCTATATGGGCCACGTCCTCAGCACAGACAACAATCGCAACACTTATCCCACGATCTCCGACCAGTCTGATAAGGTGCCATGCTGCGAGACCATCCGTGCAGCTCCGTTGTGTTGACGAAAAGTGCGCGCAGCGCCGCGTATGCGATTGTTCCCCCCAAAAAACATCAAAAAACCACATACTCCATACCATTCACCTCATCCAGTCGGACTGGCACACGACCGAACACATCCACGATATCAGTCGTACAGTATCCCACACTTTTTCCTCAACGTTTACGATTTCTGCGATGTCCGTAACGACTCTCCCCCGGCCGACATAACCGGCATCGCATATCCATAGTGCAGTGCCCCTTGGCTTCCCGAGACGTCTGTGATGTCAATTATGCGATCTGGCCCGATCGGCATAACCGGCATCACCAACGTCTGGTCCAGTTTTGATCAATTTTCAAAAAACATTGAAAAACACAGCATTTCTAGGAGAAAAATGCCCCCCCCCCAAGCTAAAGCTTAGGATTTATCTAGCCGGATTCCTTGCGATGTTTACACGAGCCTACACAACGCCCTCGGCACCTTCGGTGCGGGCGGATTAATCTTGGGGGTCCTGCCACCCCAGCTGGATTTTGCTCAACCATTCTTTTCGTTGAGCATGTTAAGCACCATGGTGGATTCTTGTGCTGTGGCATCCCAGGGCCCAAGGGTAATATAGGGGAGTTGATCGAAAACCCCATGTCAGGAGTTTTATATAAAACAGCCTTTCAGATGTTGTTAGAACCATCCGCGAAAGATTCGCGATGAGGTTCGCGAAAGTATTTTTTTCCGCGAAAGATTTATCGAAGGTCATCGCTTTCATGTGTGTTCCTTTCTACCGGACTGACAAAGAATAGAAACGCAAGGCAATCCTCCGCTAGAGCCAGTGGGCGGAAGTGTCCCCGTATGTCACAGACTAACGAATTGAAGCCTCAACATTTCCGTGCCCAGCCCTGGCAGTGCGTAAAGGATTCTCCGATTCCTGTCCCCACTGTCACAGACTAGCAATCTGGGTAGGCAAAGCCCTGACAGTGAGGCAACGACCTGCAGCTGCTCTGACGGGCTGTGCAGATGTTTGCAAATGTTACGGCTTCCCGGGAAAGCACCAGTGAAATTTTGCGAAAGAGCCGCGAAAGTTTCGCGAATGTGCCGCTAAAATCTAGGTTCCCAGCTTGAGGCCCCCCAACATTCCCCAAGCTGCATCAGTCTGTGTTGGTAGCTGGCACGAGGATTGGGTTGAGTTGTGCCTGACTCTATTTGGCACAATTGTCGCACAGATGCTGCAAGTGACCCTGCGTAGCTGTGGAAACGTTCAACCTTCTACAGGGGTCATGCTGCAAGATGTCTCTCCCTATTTTGTGATACTATGACACGTTCCGGCTCATGTTAGCTAGACATGGCTGTAGGACCATGCTTCGCGATGAGGCCGCGAAAGATCCGCGAAAGACATCTTTTTTCCGCGATGACTGGCCATTCCAGGATGAAAGAATATTGATCAACCACCAGATGTGTGCACATATATATATATATATGTCCTAGGCATGTTGGCAGCTTGAGTTGCAGAACCGATGTGGTGGAACTGGAGGTGTCTTCCGCAGCCAAAGGTGCTGCCGCCGACTCAGATTGCACTATGAGACCCTGCCGACTTGACTCCAATTCTATGGTCTTCGATTATGGACATTGGACCGGATTCAGGCAGTTCGAGATAACAGGACGAAGCCACTTTTTGCGCATCAATGAGTCAAGATGTTGCAGCATTTTTTCATTTTCTCTTTCTCCCTTTTCAACTAAGGGAGACAAACTATCGAAGTTGCAGGCACAAACGCCCTTGAATTTCGCTACTGGTTTGCCAGTGTTTAGCGACACGAAATGGAAGGCAAGAGTACCAAGAGGTATGACTTTCCAAAAGCTGCACGCTCAAGCGTGACAATAAAGGCTCAGTTTCATGTTGGTATCGCAGGCTGTAGCAAGATGGAGACGGGGGTGCCCACGGTTGCCAGCCGCGCAGGCCCCGAAGGCTGAAACACCGCGACCCAATGTCATCGAGAACGTGCTATGGCAGCAGAGAGGTTCACTACGCTGTCTCATTGATAGCGTAATTGAAGCTCCTGGTATCAACAGTCGATCAGTGGACCAAAGGTTCCAGACTGCTTTCAGGAGCTGGTAGTTGGGTCACGATGACAATTTTTTTCGTGATCCGAGTTTGTCAACATGATTGCCGGAATAGGAATACAGAAGTTTTGCGCTCCCACTCGCCCCTTGTGAAACTACAATAGTGCACACACTCATGAGAAAACATGCACATTGTCCCCTTCTTGGTTGAAGTTCCAAAGCATCAAACGTCAAACAAAGCCACACTACGTTCCAAGGGCGCCGCATTCAAGGGCGGTTGTTTGCTGAAGAACACCACAATTTGGCAACA